GTCAAGTCTGTGTCTGTTTCTTGTTTCCCGTTTTATTGTGAAAGGTTGTGCCTCATCTCAGTGTGTCCTTTGCTCCCCGTGTCTCGTTAGCCCAAACCCTCCCAGCTGTGTCTCCCTCCTGTTTTCCATTCCCTGATTACTCCCCTGTGTATATAAGCCCTGTGTTTTCCTGTGTTCCCTCAACTAGCTGTGTGTTCTGCTTCCGTGTTTCTAGTGTTTAGTCTCCTGCTCCAGTTTAGCATTTCTTTTCCAGTGTTTCTGTCCTTAGTTCTTCTGTTCAGACTTTTGTTGGTCTTTTGGTGACTTTAGTTAGTACGAGGTTTTTCCCAGCAATAAAGCTGCGCTTTAAGTTTCACTTCCGTGTCTGAGTCCTGCATTTTGGGTCCACCACTCCTGCCACACAGCCAATCATGACACAAAGTGTGGACCACTCATTGAAGGCTGAACCAGAGATTTAATAAGGACATTTTTTAAATAAACTTAATTCTAAATAAAAAACATTTTTTGTCTTTAAAGAATCTGAGTGCTTTTCAGCCTCTAAGAACCAGACCAGACGTTCAGATTTTACAGAGATGGTGCTGCTTTACATTTTTCACTGATAAATAAGAAATTCCAGTTTTACTATAATAAGAGCATATAGATTTTTGTTCTCCTGTTCTGACTGTTCCACAAGTTTACAGACAAGCATGTTTTTTGTTAATTTGTTTGTTTTTCAACTATTTTTCCCGACCCTTGCAGTGCTCAACCTTTTCAGCAAAGCTCATATTTATCTTATTTCAAACACCACCGGAAGTTGATTCTTTTGTCCTCTGTATATTATAAGTTAAGGTTTGAGATCAGCTACAATTTTACAGTTCAGTAGTCACAGCTTTCTTCTGAGGCCTATAGACCGAATTGGTTTTCTTGGTATGTTTGAATGAGTATGACCTTGTTGTAGATGGACAATGGCTCATTGTTTTGTCCTGGAATAACTAAGGCATTATAGAAACAAATATACACTTTACTAGAAGCTCAGTATGAAACGATAAATCATTTATTTTGAATCAATAATTTAAAAATTAATCTGAAAATTGTATATCAATCTGTGACATCACCAGCTCCCTGAAGACATGGTCCTGCAGTTTGCAAACAGCAGCCAGTATTTTACTGCACATTTAATGTTAAGGGCTTAAAAAGGTGCAGACAGGCTGGTGCAGACTGGAAGAGATTCGCTGGCTTGCAGAAAAGAGTGCTATTCAATTATTAATTAATAAGCTATTACACACTATTACACCACTGCTTGCTTCCCATTTGTCAGGGCTGCGCTGTGTCCACGTGCTTTTATTATGACAGTAGCACCGCTACTTCCTGTCTCTTGCAGTCGGTCTTTACAGTCCTTATAATTAGCTTCCTTCTGCTGATGTGGATGTGACACACAGTTGCGTGTCGCAGCAGTCAGAGCAGCCTTGTAAATATGCGCTTAGTTGAAGATAAACACAAAGACTGAGGCTTTTTTTCGTTCTCCAAATTGAATTTCTACTCGCATCGCGCTCTCCTCGTGCGATTTTCTAAACAAATTACATGTGACGATCCTTTAAAAAAAACAAAGCGTCGCATTAAATAGTGGTACAATTAATTACTACTAGACCGTGAGCTCTTTGTAAGTGTTGTGTATTGTGGGGGGGGACATATTTGGAGCATTTTGTAAGTTTATTTTGAAAGTAGCCCGTTTCATTAAAACAAAACGAAACGAAAAAAACAAAAACCCATCAGGCCTGATGTCACTGAAATAACATTATGAGATTATGAAATAAAGATCCATAACAGCTGATAACTCCAGTGCCATTGTATATAACAGATGGCAGCCTAAAAAATCTGCTGCTGCAAGTGAATTCGCGTATAGGCCTACTTCTTGCATGAGTTGAAGGGTGGAGTTTATAAAAGATCTTTAATCATGTTTAATGCAGCGATGGGTGGAAACACACACACACACACACACACACACACACACACTAGAAGCCCGTTAGTGCCACCAAGTGGTTTCTGTCTCTGTGATGAACTAGAAGAATCTTTCCTTAAGCTGAGGAGGCTGC